CGGGGTGCATCACAACATCCCCTGTGCTTTTGGGGGAACGGAGGGGAAGGCTGGAGGGCCCACCAGGTCACCCTGAGGAAATGACGGAGACGGGGCTGGTGACGAGGACTCGGACCCGGGACTCCGAGTTCACGCGCCGGAGGGGATGTGCCGGAAGGTGGCCACCCACGGCTTCTGAAGCTGAAACAGTAAAGGGATGAGGACGCACCGCCGGGAATCGAGCAGCCCGCCCTCACCACCCCTCCCGTCTCTGAAGACAGCCGTCCACCCCCACCCCCAAGTAAATGACAGCCCCGGTGACAGGACAGGACATTCTCAGCACACGTCCCTTGTCCAAAGTCCAGGTTGAGTCAGGAAGGCTCCCGTTGGCCTAAACAAACTCAAACAAGTGCTGTCCCCAAGATACCCTTGGGGCCCCCCCGCAGGTGCGGGGCCACGTGTGGGGGGACGGGATGAAGCAACACCGGTGACGGAGAGGCTCCTGACCGCCCACAGTCCCTAGAAGCCGTCAGTGTTGCCACTCCTGGGGACCTGTGTACCCAGGGCTAGCCGGTGCCGGCGTGGCCCAGCATGGAGGAGGGGGTGGGCCCAAGTCTGCGGTGGGCTGGCCAACTCCTCCGGACCGGCGCCCCGGCCCTGCTACCCTTGGCTCCCGGGCCCGCTGGGGGTGGGGGGGGCTGACTTTGAACGGGGGGCCTGGGGCTCCCGGGGCACCGTGGGCTGCAAGAGGCCCCCCTTGGAAGGATGGGGGGCCCCTGTGGGGGTGCCAGGTGGGAATTGCTTTATGAGTCCGCCCTGGGCTGGGGAAGAGCCTGCTTCCTTCCGGCCCCAGAAGGGCCTGGCTGGCCGGCTGGCCAGCAGATGTGCTTTAGGGGCCGGACAGGAGGCAGTAAAGGCCCACTGGCCTTTCACATGCAGATGCCTCGGGCCGGCCTCTGTGCCGGAGCCCTGCCGGGCCGGCCCTGCCTCCGAACAGCTCTCCAATAAAGGGCCCGCTGGGGAACCCAGGCTGGGTGCAGATGTCCCGTGGCCACGCCCGCCCACGGGTCCCGGCGCAGTGGAAGGGGCCCGCCCAGCCAGCGCCGCCCCCGGAGCTCCAAGGAGGGACCACAGCTCTGGGGGACAACAAGGGGCAGGGTCATCACAGTCTCAGGAGCCCGGGGCCTCCTGTTCGCCCATCTGGGGCACTGCAGGACCAGATGACACCCTCAGACTCTGGCCCTCACACCCCTCTCCACCCCCGCCCCACTCCCGTTTCCTGGCTTCTGCTTCCGACACCAGCCAGAATCTGGGCGCTTTCTACACTGGTCCCCCCACACTGGACTGCACCTTCGAGGGGCTGGGACGACCATCCGTCCAGGTCACTGCCGGTGCCCGCAGCAGTGTGTTTAGGACGGCAGAAGTGCCCAGAGGACACACGTGTCGGGTGCGGGAGTGAACTGAGGCCGCGCGGTGTTGTGGGGAAAACCCGGCTCCGGAGCCGGGCAGGTCCGGGGCCAGTCCTGGCAGTTCCTGAACCTCGCAGCCTCGGCCCCACTCTGCAAAGGGGGGCACACCCATCCCAGCGCTGCCTCTGAAGGCAGCAGGTGGGGTCCCGCACCTGCCTGGTGCGGGACAGGCCTCCCTCCGTGATGGCGACAGCTGTTGTTGTGGTGGACGTTGTTTTAAAAAGCAGAGTCCATGCTCCCCTGGCGCTCTGTCCCCGAAAGGTGGAAACCTTTCCGAAAATCTGAGGTCAGCCGTCACCGCAGAAAATGTGGGAGGAAGGGCGCTGAACTGCTCCCCCACCCCCCAGGGGTTCCCAGAGCAGAAGGTGCTGTCAGGGAACCCGTGGTGCAGGGGAGCTGCCGTGGGGGTGAACTCTCCCCCGAGACCTGGGGTCATCCACTGCCACCCCCCTGCCCCCCCACCCATCAGCAGCAGACGTCCTCACCCCTGAGGACGTCCTCCTCCGAGAGCTCCCGGGAGAACCCAGAGCAGCCGCGCATATCAAGGAGGCCACAGAGTGTGAGGTGCAAACAAACCTCACTGGTGTGGCTGCCAAAACTTACAAGAAGCGGCCCAATGCCCTGGCTGGCGCTGTTCGCCTCGGCAAACAGGCCAGTTCTGTGGGTTCCCGGTGAGAGCCCTCTCTGGGCTCAGCTGCCAGGAGAGGGAAAGTGTGCCCACCACCAGCATGTCTGAAACACCCCCCCAGAAAGCCCCCAAAGCAGGTGCGTTTTACTGGGGGGACGTGTCCCGAACTGCACTCATTGCCACCAGGGCTGGGCTTCACCCAGGCCCCGCAGGACCTGCATGGAGCACAACCCATGCGGCTGGACCTGCGTGGAAGGCCCAGCCTGTAAAGAGCCAGCAGAGGAGCTGCAGAGGGAAAGGGACACAGGGGGACTTCGGGGGCCCTGCGGTGCAAGGGGCCCAGGTTATGTGAGAACTGGGAGGCTCAGGGACTTCGTAAGGGAACCATCCCCATCCCCCTCCCACCCGAAGTCCGGGAGCAAGTAGGTGTGAGGGGGCAGAGGGGGAGGAAAAGAGTCACCAAGGTTGCTGTCAAGTTCCTGGTGGGCAGGGGACAGGTGTGGGGTCTTGGGCCCGTGTCATGGAAGCCCAGGGTGTTTCGGAGGGACCGAGCCATGAGTTCCCCAGGCCCCCGGGCAGCACCATAACGTCCGCCGGGGTGACAGGCACTGCGTCCCTTCACCGCAAAGAACCGACTGCGAGGGCTCTGGGGAAGGCGGCTCCGTGCTCTCAGCGGCTCCGTACCTGCCTGGGACGCGTTCAGCACTGTCGTTACCTCGCTGCTAGATGTACACCCCCCGCTGGACACACCTGCCCGAGATGCAGCAGATCTAAACAACACCCTCCCGAGGATCAGTGCAGAGCCCACGCGGGAACACCCTCCTTAATGCCACACTCTGCAGTCTGTGCCTTTCTCGGGAGAGAGAAGCCCCCGGCCTTTCTCATTCTCCCGGAAAGGATTCTGCGTACAGGTCTAACACAGCAGTGAGGGGCCAGGCAGACCTGGGTCCCCACGGCCCCTGGGTTATTCCAGCACAGACCCCGCAGGCTCTGAGCCTCGGCTGCTGTAGCCGATAAAGGGAGATAACCGCAGCCCGCCCGCCCAAACCCCGGGCTGTTAGGGGGACTAAATGAGATAGCGAGAGGAAGGCAGGAATGCCTAGCACACAGTAGGCGCTCTGGAGAACAGCCACCTCTGCTGTTGCTGGTAGACCCCTGGAGGCTCACCTGCCTGGGCGTGGGGTATACCGGACCCAGTTACTCCCTGGAAAACAGCTCAGCCGGCAGCCCTGCCCTTTCCAAGGCCATTGCTGAAGCCATTCTGTGCTTGCTACTCAGAGAAGGAGGACGGAGGGACCAAGGCTCTGCCCACGTCCTTGAACCGCTTCACAGGGTTTTTAGAGGCCACGGGGACCCTGCCACAGTGACAGGGACTGACAAGCCTGAGTGTCAGTGAGGACATGGACCGTGGGGCCTATGGCCAGCTGAACTGGTCTTCACAATGTCCCAGGCAACCTCCTGTTTTCATCTGATACTTAGACGGTTTCACGTGTACATTTACATTTCTTTCAATCTCAAGTCAAATCACACGACACTCCCGCCTAAAATCTTCAGGGCCGGCCCACTGTTCCTTCTGCTGGGAATTCACGACCTCCGCCCCTTGACCCAGAACGCCCTTCTCACCCTTGGGTCAGCCCAATGCCTCCTCCTCGGAGCCCTCCCGGACCCCTCCCTAGCGCAGGCGGCCCCTCTCTGTCACCCTCTCTCAGCACCCATTTTCTTCCTGCCCCTTATGCCAACCCGGGGACTTGGGGGCTCCTCCGTGTCCAGACACCAGCCCCACGGGGCCTTGTCTGCCTCAGTCACAGCCCTGCAGCTCTGGCCTCCTGTTCCTCCATCCTGGGCCTGGTCACCCCAAACACAGCCCAGCACACCTCTCCACTCTGCAGGTGCCCCCACCTGACGTTCTCGTCCGAGACAGAGCTGGTCTGAAGCCTTGGGGTAAACGGGGGCTCATGCAGAGGCTGGGGAGGCACTTAAACCTGGACTTCAGGACCGGCGCCCCCGGGGCCACAGGGAAGGCCCCCAGGTCCAGGGTGCTGTCCCGCCGGCCACGTCTCCCTTTTTGGAGTCCCTGGCCTCTCAGACACCTCCCGTGTGGCTGTGCAGGGCAGCCTGGCTGCCGTGCAGGAAGTGAGGGGGGGCTCTCTGAGGAGTGGGGGGCTCTCTGAGGAGTGAGAACCTGACTGAACGGCCATCTACAAGCAGGTAAACTGAGTCCCAACGAGGTCAGGCCACCCAGCAAAGGTCGCCCAGCTAGTGACTGCAGAAGGCCAAGCCCTGTGCAGCTGGCCCTTCCATCTGCCCATTGATGTCACCGCAGCACTGGCCTGCGATGCCGCGGGCAATGACAAAGGGGCCAGCGTGGTCCTGGCACGTCCTCCGCTCACAAGACTTGGTGGGCAAGACGCTGTCCGGCGCCCACCGTCTGAACAGACTGAGTCAAACACAGTCCAATCGAATTCCAACGCCAGCCACATGCAATTTCAAGTTTTCTGGTACCCGCATTGACAAAAGTGAAAAGAAACAGATGGGATGAATTTATTTTATTTAACCTAATATGTTCAAATGGTTATCTGTCAACATGTAGTCCGTACCAAACAGAAACCCAGGGTGGATTTTACAGCGACCAGCACACCTCAGTTCAGAATAGCCACACTCCGAGCGCTCAGCGGCCACAAGCAGCCGGCGGCTGCCCTGTCGGACCTTAGCTCTAACAGCCAGGGGCCCCGTGCGCGCGCAGGGACCGCCTCGGGGTCTGGTCCTCTCGGGTTCTCGGGTCTCCGGGGCGGGACCAAAGCAGCAGCCCCGCCCAGGCCACGCCCTCCGGCTCCGCCCCCCCCGGCAGTGATCGGAAGGGGCGGGAGGGACCTCCCGGAGTGTGCGGCCCGGCGCCCCCACCGCGGCCAGCGGGGCCCACTCACCTCGCCACCGCCTCCACGGAGCCGGCGATCACCTTGCCGCCGCCCTCGCCGCTGTCGTACAGAACGCCCGAGATGTCGAGCAGCACCCCGCGGACGCCAGCCAGCCGCTCGCCCCACGCAGCCATTGCGCCCCGCCGTGCACCTCGGGTTCAGAGTCCCAGCCCGAGGTTGGAGACTGCGGCTGCGCTCGCAGCGCAGGGACGCCTGGGAAGTGTAGTGGGGTGGGGTGGAGCCGTCGGGGAAGGGGCGGGCGCTGTGGTCGGACTTCGGGGTCACATGCCCCCCCATGGCTGTCCTCTCCGCAGATCAGGGGACGCAAATCATGACAAACTGAAGCGAGGAGACACCTGTGGAAGTAGCAAAAATTAAGGAGAACAGGCAGTACTGGTGCTCCGGTGGGGTTCTCATCCTTGACAGAGTGACAGCCCTGAAAGCAAGGGACCGTGGACCGCACAGTCACGCACTTGGAAAGGGATGCAGAGGAAATGCATCAGCTAAAGGCGATGACTGCAGCGTGAACTAGAATGCCAACGCGAGCTGCAAGAAGAGCAAACGGTCAAAGACGGACATTGTTCAAGAAATTGTAACGTGGCTACTAAAAGAAATATTATGCCAACATAAAAGGAAAACCAGGTGCTGTGACCCATGTGGTTCAGTGGGTTGGATGTCTACGCCCAAAGCGAGAGTTGCTGGTTGGATTCCCGGTCAGGGCACACGCCTGGGCTGCGGGTTCCTCCCCAGTCCGGGCAAGTGTGAGAGGCAACTGATGGAGGCTTCTCTCCCACACTTTGATGTTTCCTCTCCCTCTCTCTCTCCCTCCCTTCCCCTCTCTCTAAAAATAAATAAATAAAATGTTTTTTTAAAAATGAAGACTGGGAAGCATGGCAAATGCTCATGCTGAGACATTATGTGAAAAAGCAGAATGCAAAACCGTGCGCAGACAACGAAATAAGGATGCATAGGAATAGGGCTGGGGAGAAAGCGGCGCTATTGCAATGTGTTAGGCCAGTGAGCTTTTGGGCGAATTTTTACATTCCGTTTAATGTTACATCATTTTTGCAATCAGTAAAAAGTGATAGAAAAGGGGAAGCGTATCCTTGACCGGCACCCGACCCTTGGAAGGATTGAAATGGAAACTCGTGGAGCACTGGCAGTCTTGCAGCTTGGCAATTGTAATCAGTCTGGCTCAAATGAAACCTTATACACATTCAAAATAAACAAATGAATTAAAACTTGAAAAAAAGTTTTGACTTCAGGCCTGACTTAGCTTTGAAGTTTTCTAAAGAAGAAAACCATATTAGATTGACCGCTTCATTTTCGGGTCTGGATGAAAAGATAAGGTGAAAAATCCATCAGAATATTCAAACTTAATGTAGCTCAGTGAATCGTGCTTATTATTTGGGTAAGCTCGTTCACTGGGCCAGCCGCTGGTTGTACCCGAGAGCTGTAGGGAGTAGCTCCTGCCCTTTGGGGATCTGCAGTCTGGTCGGGGAGGAAGAGAACAGTGTGCCTTACGCTCTTAGTTGCAGACAAGAGAAACCACTCCAGCTAGAAGGACATGTTTACAAAGGGCATGGGGAGCTTATAGATTTTCAGGGGGCTGGGGAATCAAGTTCAAGTGTTACACAACCAAGAGCCATGCAGCCATGAGAAATGCCCAGTGGCAGGGCTCCATTGGGACCACTACCCCAACATTTGGCTCGTAAGATGCCAGGGACGTACTGTCAGGCTGATGGTACAGCCCCCAACGGACCAAATCCACCCGCCAGCGTGCCCTTCGAGGATTCTTTCTGCACTTGTGGCCACCACCTCGCTGCTTTCACCACTTCTGGCCTGGTGGAACCTAGTTCAGCCTGCAAGGGAGCCTGGGAAATGCAGTGTTAGCGTTCCAGGTGCTCGGGTGCAGGAGCTGAGTGAACCAGTCTGGAGAGCCTGCAGGAACGCCGTGGTCTGTGCACATGCGCTGAACTTCCACCGTGTGGGCTCAGTGGGCTCTGGGGCACAGGAAGGCCCAAGGGTTGACCGTCGCCTCTGAGTCAAGAGTGGACAGAGAAGAAGGCATGCACCTTCAGGGTGACCGACCAAGTGTGTGCCCAGCACTGGTGGGTGACCCAGTCACAGCCAAGGGGATGGGCTCTGTGGGCCACAGAGCGCAGCAGTGATTTCGGAGCAGAGGAGCGGCCTGACATGGACCCTGAAGAATGGCCGGGCCTTCGCTCCCTGCTGAGCAGGAGGGAGAGGAGGCCGGGCACTTGGGCCGGTGCTGGTGAGCCTGTGCGCAGCTCCCCCTCTTCCGCAAGCGCTGTGCATGACATCGAGCGAATCACGTTCTGTATCTAGGACCGCGGTTGACAGAATGGCCTCTTGAAGAGGTCCAGGTCCTCACCCCCGGAACCTGTGTATGTGTTACCACCCATGGCAAAAGGGACTTTGCAGATGTCATTAAGCTGAGGATCTTGAGGTGGAGAGATGAGCATGGTGGCCCAGCATGGGTGACCCATTACAAACACAGGTCGTCCCACCAGTGCAGGGCGTTTTCCCTAAGGATGTGGGATCCACTACGAACCCGTAGCCATATCTGAACATTTCTGGATCCCATCCTTCTCCTCAGCCGAGCCTCCACCGCCTTGGAAGGTGAGGGTTCCCAGTCCACCTGAATCAGACTGTGTGGAGCTTCGGGTTTACGCTGTTGGCCCTCCAGCTACTCCTTTCGGCTCTTCAACCTGCTCATCGCCAGTGTGCGAAGGGACACAAAGACAGCGCTGTGTGTGCCCTCACTTGGGGGCCATTGAGGACCGGTCTGTATCCCTGCAGTGCGACAAAGGCCGTGCCAGCCAGGGTTCCTTGGCCCTGGCTAATGGAAGTGCAGGACGGGGCTCTGGGGGAGCCGGGAAGGCTATCGGGAAATTTACAGAATCAGAGAGAATGTGGAACCACCGCTCTGGGGGTGGATAACGGCAGATGAGTGATTTCAGGCCTGGCTGCCAGGATCAAGAAGCCCCCACCTGTGTCACTCTGCTCCAAATTCCCAGGGGAGAGAGCCTGCTGGGTCCTGTAGGAGCCCACTCCCACCCTGTGGCCGTGGGGTCGGTGGCGGGGGGGGGGGGGGTTGATCGGCAAGCCCACCAGTATGGGAGATCTGAGCAAAGTCAAACCGCCTGGACCAGAAACGGGGGCGAGGACACTCACTGATCAGGCCAAAGCCAGAGGCATCCGTGCACTGAGGCTGGTGGGGGCCTGGGGCCCCCCCAGGGGTGTGGGCAGGAGCACCCAGAGCAGCCTGGGCAAGAGGAAGGCCTCGCAGAGGAGCACTTGGAAAGAGGTAGGGGATCTGGAGAGGAAGGGGGTCCCAGGTGGGCAGGGGTCAGAGGGAGCATGCTGGAGCGACACACCACAGGTGTGACAGCGAGTTCTAGCTTCCAGGATCAGAACCCCTCTGGGGGCACGTGAATATGACCTTTAGGGGTCAACTGGACTGGGCCCTGGGGTGCCCAGATATTTGGTCACACGTCATTCTGGGTGTTTGGGGTGAGATTAACATTTCAATCGGCAGACTGAGCACAGCAGGTCACCCTCCCTCCTGTGGGCGGCCCCCTCCAACCCACTGGAAGCCTGAAGAGGACAAAAAGCTGCCCTGCCTCTAAGTGAGGGAGCGTTCTTCCTACCTGAAGTCCCGGACCTGCGACAACAACGGCTTCCATCCAGCCCGCAGACCCGAACTGAAACGCAGGCTCTTCCTGGGTCTTGAGCTGCCAGCTCTCACACGGGACGGCACCGTCGGCTCTCCTGGGTCTCCGGCTTGCCGCCTCACCCCGCGGAGCTCGGGGCTTGCCCGCCTTCATGATGGCGTGCGTGAGCCAGCTCCTTATTTTTAAAAACCCTCTTTACTTATACCTCTGTTTATACCCCTACCTCTCCCTCCACATCTAGCTCTCCCCCTCCCCCTCCCTCTCACCCTCCCTCTATCTCGGTGACTGTCCCCACACAGCCCATGGTTCCATCTCCCCGCAGAGCCCTTACAAATCAGGGCTCACATCGGAGTGAGGAGGAGGGCTTGTGGGGGTGCGGAGGGGCGCCCAGGGGACCCAGGGGAAGCACCACAGCCGGCCTCAGGAAGAACGGGCCTCGGTCAGTGCCTGCTGCCCGTGGGCCCGCCCGCCCCTCACGGCTTCTCCGCTCTGCGCGGCGTGGCTCTCCCGTTCGCCCAGCTCGCGCTGAGTCTCTGCTTCCTCGTGATTTCGGTGCTCGGGCGGCCCCTCAGCAGTCACAGTGTCTTCGTTTACGTCGCTCCTGGAGCTCCAGCCCCCACCCCTGGCAGGGAACGTGCCGCTGGGTTTTGATGGGGTCCCTGGGATAGGGATGGGACTGGTCCAGCTCACCTGGTTGAGCTGACAGCGTCAGGTGGCCCAGCAGCAGGCCAGCGCACAGCCCACGGCCCACGGCCCGCTCAGCAGGATCTGGGAGCGGGGGGAGAGCCTCCGGGACGGCGGCATTCGCGGGCGGGACCCACAGACGTCTCGCACGACCACAGGTCGCCCAGGAAACAGGCTGCACAGGCAGTGGGTTACAGCGTGAAGAACCTTCCGTTCCACGCTGAGGCATCTAGTCTTCACCCCGTGGGCTGCCGTAGCCATGGAAACACCACGGACGGTGAGTCGGGAGAGGTCACCTGGCACGTGCACGGCTGAGGTGGCAGACCTGTGGCCCGCAGATGTGTTCCTGATGCCCTGCTTTTCAACGTCTGAATGGGTTGCCAGCATCTAACACTTCGGAGATGTCACCTAGTTGTCTCTTTGGGCCAGTGTGGAGATCCGGCAGCGCCCGCCGACCAGCCTTCCGACGAGGCCGCCATCCACCGCTGGAGTGGCGGCACCCGCTGGACGGGGAGCGCCCACCTCCAGCCTGCCAGGCTCGGCTGGCTTTGCTCATGCCGGCCGGGGCCCGGCCCCCTGAGGGCCACAGTTTGCACACCGGGGACGGCGACAAGCCTGTAGAGGTGGCCTGGCGGGCGCCTAGGAGACAAGGGGAAAGAGGATGAACACACGAGATGTGAGCACTGATTGGGGGAACAGGGCGCTTGGACACCCTCCTTCCGGGAGACCACCCAAGAGACGGAGCCCACTGGCCCCCATGTGAGCAGGAAGCAGGGGCGTCACGTGCTTGCAGAGCCCCCGCCTGCCCCCTGGTCCCCAGGCT